AGGACTATCTCTTTTATATTCAGTTTAATCACAGGAAAGTTCTATAGGGAGTTTTGATCCTTAGACTGGCACACATATTGGATGCAAAAAGATGCAGTCTTTGATGTCCGGTGTCAGTTGCTACATTTTAATATGGAATATGGATTCATTTGAGTATGACACATGTAATATTTGTTCACAGATCAGCAATTCAGAAGTTGGGATCGGAAGTATTTGAAAGGGTTTACAGCTATCTCAAGCAAGCAAGACAGCAGAATACAAGTGAGGATGAGGTCAAGGAATACCTAGAAAAAGTGGTTTCTAGAGCAAGTGACTGTTTTGAAGTGGATCAACTTCTTTACTTTGAGGAACAGCTGTTTGCCTCAGCAGGAGATGCTCAAATATAAAAGGTACAGCAAGACTGGACAAAGCTGGAGTTTGGTGAAATTGCTGTCAACAAATAAGTACTGATTACTGGGGTACATGATGGGGCATAGCACTATGACATTGAAGAAACGATTCATATATATATCAAAATCTTCCCACTTGTATTGTTCCATAAGGATATGCATTCTTTTAGGCCCCAATTCTACTTCTAGAGCCTGATCCTATATTCTCCAAAGTCAAAAAACCTCACATTGATATCAGTGGGCTGAAATTAGGGTCCCAGTGAGGTCAACAGGAGTTCTGCTATTGATTTCTGAAGTAGTAGGCCCATCAGTCCTATTGGAGCATGACACTCCACAACATACCTGTGGGTTTTACTGCATTTGGGCTTAGAGAACAGTGTGTGAATACACACATTCATGTGCATGCGTCTGTGTGTGAACGTGTAATTACTAATCAAGAGCTGCTTACTACTCATTGTTCTGATAAAGGCCCATATTTCACCTTCATCTTCTCAGTTAAAATCTGAGTGGATGCATCTACACATACGCTTTACTGCTGAGTTGACTTATTAGCTCTGCAGTAAAGCTTCACTGTCCACATGTGTGCCGATATTAGGGCACAGTAAATTAATTAACTCCGCAGCCATTACTGTACATTCCTGATGGCACATGGGTTGTTCCTGACCATACTGCACAGTAGCTCTTAGCTACTTAGCAGTAACTTCAGCATCACGGCATCTTGATTCATGCCCACCAATGCTATAGCAACACAGCGTAGATCATGTAGATGCGCCCCCACCTTGAACCAAATTAATTTCAGACTCCCTGCTGTCATCACATTTTTTCCATTATGTGATCTTGCAGTGTTCAGTGCAGCACTTGTGAAGTGCTCAGGTATGGATTGGGTATCTCTGACACCACAAATTATTTCTGTCTGATCTTGGGCCATTTATTCATAGGTGGGCAGATCAGCCATTTAATCTCTTAATGCCTCAGTTTTCCTATCTGTAAGGCAGGGGTAATGCTGCCTTTGTGAAGAGCTTTAACATTTTCTAAAGCAAAGTGTTGTATAAGTATAATCTTCTTATTCAATTTTAGCATTACAACAGAGTATAAAAATAGCAAATTTGCACAAATAGACAAGCTATAACATTATGATACCTCTAGCACCCAATAATAGGAGACACCAACACAATCTGACTACAGCTTTCATTAGGAACACATGGCATCATAGGTTGGAGGCTGAACTCTACTTATCAACATTAACCAAGATAGAAAATATGTCCTGTTTCAAACTTGTGGTTTAGTTTGTGGAGTTTGAATTAAGGGCTGTTGGTTATGACCAGGAGTGCTTAATCTCCAGTCCACAGGCTAAATGCAGCCTGCAGAGCCATCACATCTGGCCTGCAGTGCTCCCCACAGCTCAGGAAATTTAGCAGTGGGTGAATGGTGGCTGCTAATACAACTACCCTCCCCTCTGCCAAATTCCCAAACCCAAAGCCCCACATGCCCAATTGAAACCAGGCCACACCCCCTTCCCCCTGCAGGGCTGAGTTGGGGCTGAGCCATGCCCCTTTCCCCCACCACTAGGCTGGGCCCCTTTTCCCTGCAGGGCCAGGCTGGGGCCAGATCATAATCCCCACCCCCCTGGCTGGGCCATGCCCTCTTTCCCCCCATGCGGCTGGGCTGGGGCTAGACCATGCCTCCTTTTCTCCCATGGGGCTAGGCCATGCCCCCTTCCCCCTACAGTGCTAGGTCAAGCCCCTTCCCCCCCCGGCCATGTCAGCCTTGGGTGCTGGATCAAAACCACCATCCTGCCCATGGTTACACCAGGCACTGCCCATCTGGCCTGCCAGGGAAAAGTTTTAACACCACTAGTCAAAACTAAAGCCTTTTCACATGATTTATCCAAGGTATTTTGGTCCCCTTCACTGCTAGGCCTGGGCATCTGCTCCTTTGCTATAGTGAACCCCTTTAAAAGTTGGTGCGCCCAAAGCACAGGCAGCATTTTTTCCAAGAATTTGGAAATGCCTGGGGACTGTAGGAGCTAGTTAGTCAACAAAGGAACCAGTAATTTATTTATGGTCAGAACAAAAACCAAGGGATACAAACTTATTGACTGTGCTCCTCTCTCACTAGCTGTGATACAAAATAAATTATCACAAAGACCTGGAAAACAGTCATTTTAAGTAATAGATCACTTTTTACAAATATAAAGTAACAGAGCCATCAGCTCTTAAGAAATCAGGTTTTCTCAGTAGCAATCAAAAAGGGGAATTGCACGTGGGTGGGCCAGGCTCTCTGGAGCAGTCAGGCACTTGGAATATCATTAAGAGTGCAACCTTTGAAGTCTGGAATTGTGTTTTGGCCATACAGGCCATCCTTAGGGAAAAGCTCACTCTCTGATGTACAGAATTTTTGCTTGATGCACATTAAAAAGAGATTATAATGGCCTTCAAAGTCACTTCGATCATTTTCTTCTGTGTGGGGATATGTCCTCTGAGACACTGTCTGAGCCCTGAGGAGCTCTTCATCTCCTCCTACATGACACCAAATTCCTACCCTTGCAGGCTCCTCACTGACATCATCTTTTCTCCTCTTGAATGGGGAGGGCCTGGGGACTCCCTTTTAAAATCATGTTCCCTGCAGCAAGGATAGGACTGATAAAGGATATAGGCAGCTCTTCCTTGTTGGCCTTCATATCCTGCTATCTCCTCACTCAAAACACATACAAGAAATTTAATGGGATAATACTAAGTTCACAGGTCAAAAGAGTAGATAGAAAACTCATGAACACAAATAGTTCTATGGGATCAGTGACTAGGAGTTGGCTTTTGATTGTGCGTTCCTGTGTTCATTTAATTTTTGCTACACTCAGGCTTAAGATTCCTAATAAAATATTGTCTTTACCCAAAGCTACAAGGGGCATATTTTTCAGAGGAATCCATCCACTTGCTTTATGGGGGGGGGAGCAAGAAAATAACAAATGAAAGCTGACATCTTCCAAAATGCAGTTTAGCTGTCTATTCTCTCGGAACTATTCTTTTTTTCTGAAAGACAAGTGAATTGGCAGCAGACTGGGTAGAAGGGAGACTGCCTCTGAAACAGATGGCTAGAGAATGCAGATTTGTTTGCCTCTGCCTACCACACAGGGATTTTAAACAGACACAGAGGATGGGAAATCTCCCTCGGGGCCAACATAAGTTCTTCAGAATTTTAACTGATTTGTCTTTAATTTTCTTCTTGACTTATTGAACGCAAAGTGGTTGTATTGTCATCCAGACAGCTGTTCTCTTTACTGCACATCATTATTCAAACCCATCAGCTTAACTTGATTAATTTATAACACCTTCCAGACAGAGAAAGCTCTCAAACCTTCACTAAGCCCTGGAAGAATCCCACTAAACCTCTGTTCACCAATATTCATGGTTTTGTCTCCAGGAGGTCCATACCATTTTCTTTGGTTCTCAGGCTAAGCACACAAGATATCCTAGTGTCCTCATAGGTAGGCATTTGTAGTGCCCTCTCCCCTCTGCCAGCTCCCCTCCTTCCAAAAATGTTTTTCCTTGGCCACTAAAGGATCCAGGAATGTTGCAAGTGGGATATGTACTCCTCCGCACTTTGGCTGCGCTGCACTAGCACCATAAGCTCTGAGTTCACTGCCTGCTCAGCACAGCCCTCTGCTGAAGCTCCATGTTGTCAGTGAACTCTGAGCTCACCAGCTGATTAGGGCAGGGTCTGGCTGGAGCCCCTGCTTTTGTGTGGCTCCAGAGCCTAGGGGGTAAATGTTGCTACTGTTTGCCCACCACTAGGGGACAAGTGGTGGTGGCCAGCACTCACCCTCTGGGTTCCAGACTCTCCCAAAAGCCACTCTCATCAGGAATGTAGTCAGTTGGGAGAGTTGGTAAAGTGTCCAGAGCACAGGTGCCTTCTTTTCTCATCATCTCATTTTGGACCAGAGGGTATATTTGAGATGGAAGATCTAGTTAAAACCATGAAATCTCTGGTTACTTTTACTAGTGATGCTTGAATTTTTAAAAAATGGACTCCATCTATAGATTTGTATCATGAATTACTTACAATGGCTAACAAAGGTACTGCACCTGTTAGATCTGCAACTGTATCATAAAGACTTCAAAGTTAAACGCACAATTTGAAATGCATCTGACAAGAGACATAAAAGCAATAAAAGAGATTCTATAAGTATGTCAAGGGGAAGAAAAAGAGCAGAGAAACCATAGGTCCCTTACTGAATGTGGAAGGCAATTTAGTTGTGGAGGGTTCAGAGAAGCTTGAAGTATTTAATGCCTGTTTTTACTTCGGTCTTCTCAACCAGGAGCAGCTACCAGATGATGAGTGCATAGGGCAGCAAAGATAGGGAAGGAGACAAACAGCCTAGAGTAACGCCCTCCCAATAGGGCTGTCAGTTCCACTCCAAATTCCAATATATCACCTGGAGTCATTTACAAGCATTTGCCTTAGCCCATTTTACACTCATTTATTAAACATGGCAAACTTAACACGCTTGACTAAAGCAGTATCCAGTTTGGCAATGGTATGTATGTTGGGAAAGTTGTGTGTATGGGAATAGATGTGTTCTCATAACTATTGCCCTTGTTCTCTTCTGATTATATCTTGGTCCCTATCTAACTTTACTTGTTACCTCTCAGGGATAAGAAGAAAAAAAACCCTGCTCTCCTTCCATGAAGAAACAGCAAATAAAAACTGACATTCCTTTAATTTTTTCAGTGAACCTTGTGGCTACTATTTGTGTAACTATGGTGTTTTTCTGACAGTTGTGTTGCAACAAAGCAAATCCAAATTCTTCTTAGTTACAACAACTAACAAAGATACTGCACCTGTTAGGTCTGCAACTGTATCATGAAGATTTTCAACATCAAAAGCACAATTTGAAATGCATCTGGCAAGAGACATAACAGCAATAAAAGACATTCTACAAGTATGTCAAGAGTAAGAGGTCCCTAACTGAATGTGAAAGGCAATCTAGTTATGGATGATTCAGAGAAGGCTGAAGTATTTGATACCTTTTTTACTTCAGTCTTCAAAAACAGGGGCAGCTACCAAATGATGAGTGCAGAAATCTGCAAAGATAGGGAAGGAGCCAAACAGCCTAGAGTAATGGCAGAACAGGTTAAGGATTATTTAGAGAAGCTAGATGCTTTCAAGTTGGTGGGGCTGGATGGGATGCATTGAAAGGTACTGAAAGAACTGGCTGAGTTAATTTTTCTCTTTGAGAACTCATAGAGGTTAGGTGAGGTCCTGGATGACTAAAAAAGGGCAATTCTGGCCCATCATTAAGAAAGAAGAAGGAGGACCCAGGGAACTATAGACCAGTCAGCCTAACCTCTATATCTGGAAAGAGCATGGAGCAGGTCCTTAAGTATTACATTGTGAAGCATGTAGAGAAGGTAAAGGAAATGATCAGGAAGAGCTAGCATGGATTCGTCAAGAGCAAGTTTGACCAACTTGATTTCCTTCTATGATACTACAATTCAATGTCACTAGAGGTTTTGTGGATGGATGGAAGAAGGGGGGAAAGGAAGGGCAGTAGATATTATACACCTAGACTTTAGCAAGGCTTTTCACACTGTCTCTCACAACAGTCTCATTAACAAGCTAAGGAAATACAGACTAGATGAAAGTACTGTAAGGTGGATACATAATTGGTTGGATCATTGTGCTCGATGATTAGTCATTAGTAGCTCAATGTCTAGGTGGGAGGAGGTATCACGCGGGGTTCCACAGGAGTCTGTCCTAGGTATGGTATTGTTTAATATCTTCAGTAATGATTTGGATGATGGGTTTGAGAACACGCTTAACAAATTTGCAGATGACACCAAGTTGTGTGGAGTTATAGATACTCTGGTGGGTAAGACTAAGAACCAAAATTACTTGAATAGACTGGAGAAATAATCTGTAATTAATCAGATGAAATTCAACAAGGACAAGTGCAAAATCCTGCACTTCAGATGGAATAATTGCATGCAAAAATAAGACTGGGGAATGAGAGACTAGACTGTAGTGCTACAGAGAAGGACCTGGGAGTTACAGTAGATCATAAAATGAATATAAGCCAAGAGTGTGCACTTGTTGCAAAAAAAAGCCAACAGCATCCTGAGTTGTATTAACAGAAGTGTCACTGAAAAATCGAGGGAAGTGATTCTGCCATTCTATTCAGTATTGGTGAGGCCTCTGCTGTAGTACTGGATTCAGTGTGGGGCCCACATTTCAAGAAGGATACGGGTAGTTTGAGACAAGTCTGAGGCAGAGCAAAAAAAATAAAGAATCCTGAGTAGTAATACTTATCATAGAATCATAGAAAATTAGGGTTGAAAGGGAACTCAGGAAGTCATCTAGTTCAACCCCCTGTTCAAAGCAGTACTATCCCCAACTATATCATTCCAGCCAGGGCTTTGTTGAGCTGGGCCTTAAAAACCTCAAGGGATGGAGATTCCACCATCTCTCTAGATAACCTGTTCCAGTGTTTCACCACCCTTCTAATGAGAGTTTTTCCTAACATCCAATCTAAACCTCCCTTGCTGCACCTTGAGACCATTGCTCCTTGTTCTGTCATCTGTCACCACTGAAAACAGTCTAGCTCCAGCTTCTTTGGAGCCACGCTTCAGCTAGTTAAAGGCTGCTATCAAATCCCCCCTCAGTCGTCTCTTCTGCAGACTAAATAAGCCCAGTTTGCTCAGCCTCTCCTCTGAAGTCATGTGCCCTACCTCCTGAACCATTTTCACTGCCCTCCACTAGTCTTTCTCCAACTTGTCCACATCCTTTCTATAATGGGGGCCCCAAATCTGGATACAGTACACCAGATGTGGCCTCACTAGTGGAGAATAGAGTGGAATAATTACTTCCCTCAATCTGCTGGCAACCCTCCTACTAAGGCAGCCCAATATGCTGTTACCCTTCTTGGAAACAACGGCACAGTGCTGACTCATATCCAGTTTATTGTTCACTGTAACCCCCAGGTCCTTTTCTGCAGAGCTGCTGCTTACCTAGTCAGTCCCCAGGCTGTAGCAGTACATGGACTTCTTCCATCCCACATGCAGGAGTTTATACTTGTCCTTGTTGAACCTCAGAAGATTTCTTTTGGCCCAATCCTCCAATTTGTCTAGATCACTCTGAATACTAACCGTACCCTCCAGTGTATCTACTACACCACGCAGCTTGGTGTCATCTGTGAACTTGATGAGGGTAAAATCCACCCCATCTTCCAGATTGTTAATGAAGATATTGAACAAAACCAGCTCTAGGAGTGGCCGCTGGGGCACTCCACTTGATACCAGCTGCCAACTAAACAATGAACCATTGATTTGGATGATGGGTTTGATGCAAGCCAGCGTTTTGGTCGCTTTACTAGCCGCAGCATCGCAGATGATGGGTTTGAGAACACGCTTAACGAATTTGCAGATGACACCAAGTTGTGTGGAGTTTTTTTCTCTATAAAGCATACCCAGTCTTATTTCTAGCACTATCCTAGCACTGATATTCATTAGAATGAAATAGAAATCTAACAAGGTGATAGAAAAAGTACTACAGTAATACTATTGCTGTTAACTACAGAATAAAACAGCTGTGGTAAATGAAAGAAGATATTACATGACTATAAATGTTCATAAAAGGTTCCCTCCAACCCATGTATTTGTACATGGCTACAAAGTACATACTTCACTTTCACATCCATTGACTTTGCTGCTTTCTGTTTACACTCCTTCAATGCCATAAGCTGTATTTATTATGTGATAAAGTGATATAGAACACAAAGGAAATGATGTGAGTTAATTATTTAATGCCTTTGGGGCCTTGAATCAGCAAAAGAGCCTGGACTAGTACAGGAAAAAGCATGAACATTTTGATAAGAAGAATAGCTGTCAGCATATCTTCAGCAGCTGGATCTGAAGGCAGACCAATTACAGTTGCAACAGCATACAAAAAGCCTGTCCTTTCTTGTAAGCAGTCGGACTGGTGGTTAAGCCTACAGAAGGAATCAGAGCCAACTCTCTATCAGATGAATTAATAGAATCCTGGGTCTGAATATCCCTTCCCCCCACTGCAGAGAGGAAGTTTAATTTTTGCAGGTACTCAATGTTTCTGGATGAAATTCACTGTGCAGAGAAGAAAATGTCCAACAGGACAAGTAAACTGTAGAGCAGTAAGAGTGTATAGGCTTGCAAACAGGGGTGTAGATAGTAGCCATGTTGGTCTAAGGACATAGGCAGACAGGGTTCTTTGGGTGAATCTGATATCTTTTATTAGACCAACTTAAATAGTTGGTCTAATAAAAGATATCAGATTCACCCAAAGAACCCTGTCTGCCTAGGCTTACAAACAGTTTGTATATGTTTTGATTGTAATTTGCATTCACTGTACAAATTTAAGAATACTTACACAAGTGCTGGGAGAAGTCTTTTCTAGTAAAACACTGCTCCATTATTTTTTAAGGATGGCAGGAGAGAAGAGTACATCATAGTGCAAGACTTTCCTATTGGATGAAATGGCAACCTATAGT